CGCCGTGAAACAGGTTTTAAAGTAGGTTATAAAGTCTTAAAGCGGAAATTTTCTTTATCAAGTGCCCCAGACAATTTCACTGCAAAATTGGCTCCGAAGTTTGAAGGCCCCTATGTAATACAGAAAATCAAGGGAGTCGTATTTTACCTTAAGAACGAGAAAAGGGAAACCTGTAAAGCAAGTCCCGACCAGGTGAAAAAATATTATAATCAAAATGATTTCGAAATCCTTAAAAGTTTCTTGTAGGACTCAAGCGCAAAAGAAGTGGAAATTCCAGAATTAACGCCACCCGCTCCACCAGCCAAGAAGCAGAGAACAGAAGAGGAACCTAGCCCTTCTACAAGTCATTCTAGGGTCCCGAAAAGAAGGAAAGAGAATGGTCAGACTCCAGGATTCAAGAAGGGCAGGAAATCAATGCCACCTCGTAAAGAATCTTTGGTAACCAGGAAAAGACCAGGTACAACATCCCACAGCAGAAAATCTGCGTCGAGGAAACCACTTCCAGGGCCAGATAGTCAGAAACAAACAAGGCCGCCGTTCATAAGAAGAAAGAGACAGCAAGAGGAACGAAAAGATTGGGACCAGCAGAAAAAATTCAAGCAAGAATCCAGACCGGAGGCCGCCAAGACCAGCCGTCCTGGGGCCAAACGGAAAAGACAGGAACCCGAAGACTACCACCCCAAGAGGCCGGCGTACAGAGGGCGAATAAGGAAAGTGACCATGGAGGAAATTCGAAGAAACCAAAAGAGGAGGTTAACTTCTATGAATTCTGTAACTTGGGATCAATTCTTTCAGAAGTGGATGTCGGGGTTCCAAGAATCGAAAAGACAAAGATAAGTTAAAATCTTCTATAAATTTTTCTTTTGTTCTGAAATGTTATTTGTAAATACGAAGTTCTATGTGTTGACGAAAGTCAATTTGTCTCGGTTGAGACTTAGTTTTGTTTTACTGTATTTAGCTAAAGCAAAAGCATTATTTTCTTTAAGTGTAATATCTAAGAACAAGCAGTTCATGTTGGTCGAAAGACTGGTTCTGTTATGTTAAAGCCAAAATTTGGCCGAAGGTAAAATAGCTTCGTATTGTTGTATTAATGGAAAATTTAGTTTCAGTGCCGCCAGCTTGGCGAAGAAAGCGTGAAGTAAAATTTTATTTTCTCTTATTCATCTTATGTAAATTGTAAAAATCATATGTATTAGAATTTTGTAAATATAGGTAAATACTTGAAAGTTATGTAAAAGTAGAATTTAGTCTAGAAGCATAAAATTTTAGATGCTAAAAGTAAATGCTCAAAAGAAACGAGTTAAAACCTAAGTGTTAAACAGTAGTTAAAATCATGCTTTAGAGCGAAAGCCTGCATGTGAAAAGATGAATGAGGAGGAAATTAGAATGAATGTGGTTTTTAGGGTTCTCCACCCACACTTGAATTTAAGAATGTTAAACATAGCTAGCTCATCGAGTTTCAGTATGTTGGAATAGGGTGTGTCATATTTGGTCGTTGAAATCTAACAAATCATTGTGGTTAGGGGAAGTGTTGAAATAAAAAAACACGAAGATTCCCGTTTGACACCACACATGGTGGAGAACCAGGGTAAAGTTAAATTCATGTTTGAATATTTGAATGAATGTGAATTTAAGCAGTTAAATAAGGAAAAGAAAAGGACCGAAAACGAATATACTACCGAGTGTTAAGAAAGTTTAAATCATAATGTATTTGGAATATACTGATACTTATTCCTTCCAGATGCTGGAAGGAAGGGAAAAAGATTGATTCATGAAGAGCAACAGCAGAGAAGATCCTGTAAGATATTGTATTCTAATCGTCTACAAAAACTATTGAAAAATTTTGTTAGGGAAAAGTTTGTTTAATGTAAACGGGTTTCTTGAGTCTTAGGTTAGAATATGGAAACTTTTCAACAGGTCGTTTCTAGGACCTGCTTCCAAGTTTGCCAAATTCTGGCAGCGGCAAATGTAGGTTTTATATTTATTTTAACTAACATTTATTTTAAGTTATCTTTCCTGTCAAGCCTTTACTTTCCCCTAGAATTACCAATGCTAGAGTATGTAAATTGTAGTAGAGCGCGCAGTATATTCAAATTTAGCAGAAGTAACTTGAGTTTAAATAGAAGGAAAACGAGATTGTAGGTGTGCTTCTTGAATTGCGAACTTGAAGGTTGCTAGGTAGAAATTTAAGAACCGCGCGTTTCTGCCTGTGTGCCTATCTCGGCAGTTTTGCTGAATCTTTCAACTGCTTAATTAGTAAGCTCGCTGACTCTCAGCGGCATTTTAGAACGCGGTTAGGTTAGTTTAAGATCTCAGAGCCTCGTGGATAGATATCTCGCTATTTTATTCATTCAGTCATTATTGTTCAGTTTTACGTTCTGTTTCAGTTAAACCGCCGGGTTGGCTTAGTTTGTTAGCGTCAAGTGGACGCAGCTGTTATTTTTAAAGTTGAATAAAAAGGGCTTTAAACCCTTCTTACGTATCTGTGTAAATTTACACTTAGTAGCAGTCACTACCACAGTTGCTGACAAGTTGGGGGCAACATGATACCACAGGTAGAAGAAAAAACTATCCGAAAGTTGAATTTCTGTAAAATGCCTGCAATTTTATAGCTAATCGATGGAAAGAACGAAATGACAACAGACTTCTTATAATTTCCTAAGACGAGAGAAGATGCTTTTTAAAGTATTGAGGTGTGAATTTTTAACCGGTTGGTCAATAACCTTAGGCGAAAAGCCTCTGCCAATTGCAACTGCTTTTAAGTAATTCAGCTCCTGAACAAGAGCCAATTTGGAAGAGCAAACTTGAAGTACAGGGAAACGAAGGAATAAAATAAAGATAACTTCCTTTTAGCCAAATGTTATGATTTGAAATGTGGTGGAAGGCAAACGGGTTAAAGTTTACATTAAAGAGTAGTAATGAATCTGGATATGTCGCACGTGACCAAGATGTGGAGAAACGGGAGGGAATTCGATATCTCAAGTTCAAAAGTTAACTGAATGTCAGGATCAATGGAATTCTTCATTGAAAGAACTTTATTTAAATAATCTTCATTACCGTCAAACAGGGTACAGACATCATCAGCCGAACCTCGCAAGAAAGTTTAAAATTTCACATATGAAACATAAGGTATATGTTAGGGGAAAAAAGAAACACATGAATCTTCTGTTGCCAAACACCATTGGTCAGAAAATCATGTTTTTCATTTTTCTACAGCCAAAATTATTGAGAAAACATCTTCCATTGGCAAAATAGATTTTTTAGAAGCGTTCCACATTCATAAAAATTTTTCATTTCTAGTTAACGATCTCAGTTCCAATCCGTCTGTACCCTCAGCTTTTAAGGAAATTATTTCATAGTTGCTTTCATTTTTCATCAAGAGAGGGCGCCAATAACTATAATTTCTTCCTGTCATTCTTATCGCCTTATCTTATCACTGGCTTCTCTTTCGTTATTTGCACTTCTGTAGCTGAAGAAGTGCTTCTGTATTTAAACCTTTGAAACTAGTCCTGAAAAGTTTTTAATATTCTGGTGATTCTTGTTACCTTTACTCTTCCAATAGTTGAGCCATTTTAACTCAAATATCGACTAAAGTGATTCTCTTTGTAAACAGAGATTAGTCAACTTCTGTTTTAGAATTGAAATAAATTTTAAATAAGTTTGCTGCTTTTACTTTTAAATCGTGTTATTAATCAACCGTGTATATTAAGCCGTGAAGTAGTTTACCGTATTCCTAAACATTTATCTGAAAGTTAATTTATAAAATTCTTTCTGTCATTTACAACCATATCCCTACAGTTTACTTTGCGTCAGCTAAATTTTCCTGTCCTTTTGGGTAAGTATTAAAACATAAACATGAAACAGGAACACGAAAGTAACGACTTCAAGACGTACGTTTCCAAGTTTATCAGAGTTTTCTTCCCTTATTCATAAAATTGTCAGTTGTTTAAGCGAGTTTGCGTTATTTCAAAATATTTCTGAATATTTTCTAATTAACTTCTTTCTTCAATTCATTAAACAAACAATTCTCTTATTTTTAACATCACATTTTTAATGCAAACATATCCACTACGCACGCCCGCCCGCCAAAAATGTATTTGCAACAGTTCTTTGATGAATTTTCATATGTTTGCAGCAAAAGGAATGTGGTTAGGCAGAGAAGCATAAAGCGAATGTGACGTGACTAAGAAAAAAACTAAATGTAGAATTATTTAGTTTTGATTCAGCTTTATCCCTATCCGTCGCTAAAAGTTTCTGTTCCCAAAATTAAAATTTATTATTGGCTGAAACGTTTCGTGAGTATCCGTAACATTTAGAGTTATGTAAGAATCATGTGAGAGGATTAATTTTGAAATGATGCAGTTACCTTTTTATAGGATAGAAGGGAAAATAACCAAGTAAAAAAAAAGGAGAGTCAAGGGCTACTGCAAGTTAAAATTAATATTTTGATTATATATTTTTCTTAATTTTACATTTAAATGTAAAATGGAACGCAACGCCCCTTACCCATGGAACTCTTACTATTTATAATATGTTTTAAGCATTTATCAATTTTTCTTTCTTGTTTAACTCTCGCAAAAGTAAGTTTTCATTAATTCCTGGGTTAAATAAATTTCTCATAAAAGTTGCTAATGCGAGGGAGTAAATAAAAATTTTCTGACTGAAAATATTCTATGCTACAATATATTATGTCATTCCTTGCAATGAATAATTTTAAATTCATCATTACTCTGAAAGTTAGTCGAACAGTGCTCGAAGTTCGAAAGATTTTGTTCATCAAATATGTTTAAAAGTTGGGATTCAAGTTAATACATAATGAATACAAAAAAAATGGGAAAAGTTTTAAATTAACTCCAAAATACGAGTTGAATTTTCAGATAACTATTCGCTATTTTGATGAGTCAAATCATGGTGTTAAGGGGGAGGGAAGAATTCATCTATAACTTGCGTCCTTATCGTTGATCTGAATGAGGAAATCTTGTAACCATTGGTGACGGCGAACGAAGTCAGCCTTACGCAATGTGGTTACATCAAGGAGTGTTGACTTATTCTGTAGCTGCGCTGATCAATCTGTCTGCGCTTTGTATTTTTGTTTAAGTATTTGTTTTTTTGCAATATTTACAATGGATGCAGTGTGAAAGCAGTTACTTTTATATAATCTGATCTGAATTAATGCTGTAGTTTATTTGGATTCTTACGATTCTAATACTGCATCAGTAGTTTTCTCTGGAGCATATCATCATGACGAATGCGTTTTCAAAAGCCGTGCAAAAAATTTCTGAAAAGACTGCAGTTCCTGTGGAAACTGTTAGTTTATGTATGGTTAGTGCAGTATGTTTCTTGTATGCATCACGGGTGGGTTTTCCTATGTTGGCGAAAACTATAAAAAGTTTAAAAAATAGAGCTACCGAAGCGCAGCATCAAATATCATCAACAAGCCCTCACAAAAGCACCTACAGTCCTGTGATAAGTGAAGATGAATTGATCGAAGAAGTTGATAAATCTTCGAAAACGAAGGAAAGTAAGAAAAGAACTGGTGATGATAATAGTATATATGACCTCAAAAATTTTCCTGCTTTTAATAAGAAGTTTCTTGAGCAGTTGAGCAAATTGATAAAAGTTATGATACCTAGTGTATGGAGCATAGAGGCTGGTTTGTTACTATTGCATACCTTATCATTGATCATGAGAACTTTCCTTTCAATTTATGTTGCAAAATTAGAAGGTTGTGTTGTGAAATTTATTGTACGCAAAGATATTCACATGTTTACTGTGCAGCTGTCAAAATGGCTTTTAATAGCATTACCTGCTACATTCTTGAACAGTTTAATCAGATTTCTAGAAAGCCAACTTGCTCTTGCTTTTCGTACAAGGCTAGTAAGATATGCATATTCTTTATATTTTAAAAATCAAACGTATTATAGAGTAAGCAACTTGGATGGAAGGTTAGAGAATGCTGATCACTGTTTGACTGAAGACATCACTTCATTTGCTCAATCTATAGCTCATTTATATTCTCATATTACAAAGCCACTTCTTGATTTGATTATAATTAATTTTACTCTATTTAAAATGGCTAGCAATATGGGTTCTTATGGTATGTCAGGTCAGTTATTTGCAGCTGCTGTTGTTACAGTTACTGCTCATATTCTTCGTAAAGTTACACCAAAATTTGGAAAATTGGTTTCCGAAGAAGCAAAACGTAAAGGCTACCTCAGATTTGTACATTCCCGCCTCATTACCAATGCTGAAGAAATTGCTTTTTATGGTGGTCATAAGGTATGTTACTCACTTCATTGTTAATGAAGGCGCTGCATTTAAAAAAAATATTTTAATGTACATATAATTTTTTTAATGATTTTTTTTTAAATGATGTATTTTATTTGTGCCATGCTGATAGAACATTTAACAAATAAAAGAGGTAAGAGATTGATTAAGTTTTGCTAGTACATTCCCATTGATAAAATTCTTTTATTTTAGACCCTGACTACTGTCTGGGGCCTTAGACCTTTAAAGGGTATAAGTTATGTTTTTTGCCTTATAAAAATGAGAAGTGGATGTTGGAGAACCAAAATTATCTGTATGCAAATAAAGCAAGATTAAAACTTATAATCAAGTGAACCCTTTTAAAGGAAAATTCATTTTGTATTTGCCAATGTTAGTTATTCAGAGCAATTAAAAATTTCAAAAGTTTAGTTTAACTGAAAATAGTATGTAGGCTTTAATGAAGGTAAGCACTTTAATAGAAAGTTTCAGCCTTGAAGCAGTCAGGTTCTAGTCTTAGCAACCCTGTGTTATAACATTTTCACCACTCTCTTACCAGTTACCAGAATATTGATTGTAGGGCTTCGGCCAGTCCTGGTCTTGTTCAAAATGCACATGGTGTGCTGTTTTTAGAACTGACCCTATGTGTTGCTCAAGAATTATGCTCTACTAATCTATTTTGTGAAAAGTTAGATGTATACTGAATCTTCAAGCTTTTTTTAATGCGTTACTCTGAAATATTCATATGCATGTTATAGTGCCATAAGAAAGATTATAAATTTCTGGTGGTAGTGACACTCCATTTGTTAAGTTAATATGCAGAGAACCAAAATTTGCGTATTGTTAAGTAAATATGTTCTCAAAATTAACTTTTACATATTTCAGTTACTGTAGTATAGAGAATCCTTCTTGTAAGTGTCACAGAATTTCTTCACAGCTGCATTCAGTTCTCTTGACTGACTAAAAGGTATATTTTTCCCATTAGCACTACCATTGGGTTGTGCGGTTGTTGAAGTGGATTATTTAATGTTGAAAATATTCAAACAATATTTGGTGCCTGAGCCTTTTGATTGGCATCCAGTGGTGTAAATAAGGGTATGCAAAGAATAGGGTATAAGCATAGGGGTAAGGGCCTTTGAATATCCTGCTGAACTACATTTATATGTTTAAACTTAAAAGGAGATGGACACATAGAATAGAATCTGACTTTTAAGTTTTTAAGGGCCCCTTACTTGCCTCATATATAGAAGGGGCCCTTGGAAGCAGATAAAACTGCTGTATTCAGTGTTGCATGCACTCAAATTTCAACTGAGTACAAAATAAAAAAGCTGTGTGCTTTTGTTTTGATTCTCCCTCAGGAAAAGAGCTTTCAAGTCATTAGTTGTAATTGGAGATGGACTGTTGTTCGGGTTTATTTTGAGAACAAGATCTGAACTCCCTGAGCAGAGATCGTGACAAAGATAGCAAAAATGAATGTGCAGGGAGTTAGGATCCCTGAAGTTCACTAGAATCCCCAACTTTAGGAAAGAATTTTATATTGCAGCCATGTGTCATATTTTCTCGTTAACATGAAAAGAGTGTGTTGGCTGAGGTAAAAATTACTACTATTTCTGAGCATTGTAGACTTCACACCAGTTCTTGTTTTAAAACTTGGCCACACAATTAATTTGTTTCCATATATATCATGATAATAGTTCAGTAAGAAGAAAAATTTTAAAGAGATTAAAACCTCTCTTCTCCCTTTCTTTTTATTTATGTTTCCTTCTCGCCAAAGTTTTTCTTTTTTTAGCCCAAAGGGTGTTGGCCTAGAAGGGCTGTTAATTTCATTTTGGCATTTTACATTGAAAACTTTGAATGTCCATTTCACTTTTTAAATTGTCGCCGCCAAATATTATCACCCTGTGTTATATTTAAAGAAATTAAATAGTGAAGAATCTGCATAAATGTATGTATGTGTCTCTCATTGTGATAAAACAGCGGTACCTAGAACCATCAAATTCTGAATAATGTAATCCTCCACCGAATATGGGCATCCGGAAGCCATAATTTGGAATTTGTTTATTATCGATTTCATATTTTGTAACACTTTAACAAATTTTTTATTTACATACTCGGTGATTTCAAAGCGGACAATGGCAACGTTGTACAGAAAAAACATTTTTATCTCCAGCACACGAGACTGCGTATCTGAAATTCTAAAGATATGCTCATTTTAAAATTATTTTACGATATTGCTGTTGAACTGAATTTTATGGTTTAAGATCGAAGAACATAATATTTAATAAATAAAGGTAACACACAAAACTTTAAAAAAAAAAAAAAAAAAAAAAAAAAACCTTTGGATGTAATGTAAAATCTGAAACCTCTAATTTTTTTTCCGTCAGACTTGAATAGATTATGACTCTTCTGATGCACATTAATTTCAATACTAGTTTTTGTATGTATAATTTTAGGAAAAAATATCTAAGCCTTTTTGCTTAATTATTTTTTAAACTGATAATGAAATCTTATTTGGTAGGATTCATAAGGTATTGATGTTATGTAATAGAACAACCATTATAACAAGTGCTGATTGTGCTAACATTTCTAGTGTTTTTCGTTGAATCTGTGTATTTTGATATTCACTTTCCAAATCTGAAAAAGTGTAAAAGGGACAGAACACCAAGAGGATGGGGCTTTCAGACGTGGCATGCTCAAGACAGCTTTAGCATGGTTAAATCGCCTCAAACCCTGGAGGCTATTTGAAAAGGTGTCACGTCCCTCGGTCAACCCAGATGTCTTAAATGTTTCACTTAGTATGATTGTAAGTACACAAGAACAGTGGTGGATGCAACACACCCACCAAAAAAGAATAAAGTCACAAAGCTACTGACTGTTCCTCAGTGTTGACTAAGGGAAGTCCATCTGTCAAGAACAACCTTCAATATCTTGCCATGTAATGTCCTCACAACCAACGGGCAGACAAGACAGTACCAGTATGGTCCCCTGCCAAGCCTGAACCTACCACTGAATAAATGATGGCTCTACTCACTCTGAAGGCAGAAGTAGAGACTGTCTAGATATTGATCTAGCCAGTATGCCAGGATGGTCAGTCCCAGTCGACCTCCAGGAATAGTCATCTGAACATAGTCAGCCCAGGCGAACTTAGTTACCAGTGAGGCTACGAGGAGGCCTATGTTGGATTAGGACAGTGAGAGGCTGTGCGGTGTGCATTATTGCCCCATGGCTATACCCACTCTCAGAAGTACCAGATCAAACCCCGGGTCTTCTCCCATAAAATGGTTGGTTCTTTCTTGTGACAAACCCATTCAAAGCCATCTGAATGATCGTTACGTTCAACCATGTACATTTTCTTCATACCGTAAGAACACTTATAATGACTACTAAGTAAACCTTCATTTACACACCATTCAATTAATGCTTTTTTCCCCTTTTGTTCCAAATCATACAGAAACTTCACATTAATCTCATCACATACAGCCATTTTACTGTGTACAGCACAAAATAAGCAATGTACTTCCTAACTGACATCCAGTGCAGAAATAAGCCCTTACAAATATTTTCCTGTCAGTCAAATTCACTGTAATCACGCTATAATAGGGTTTCCGTAACATTTAACTACTCGGGTTACCATAAATGAAACAAGAAATTCACAGTAATCCAAGGGGGCATTCTAAAATATTTATTCGCCCTAAAATATATACCCAGAATATTAGCTAAGATCTTCTTATAAAGCTTTATTATAAAATGCGTTTACTATAAATGTTTGTAATTTCGAAACTGAGGTTTTCAACATACCAATTAAACGTTTTAAATGCTTGGGAAACGAGAGGAAAAACTGAGTTTAAACCAAAAAAATTAAAGAACAGCAAAATTAAAGAAGCTGAGGGACATTTATAATCAACAGACTTCTTAAGCCCCTTGTCACTATGCAAAAGCCATTTTCATATACAGTACAAAATGCGAGATCCGGACTCATCGGACTTCGGCGATTCCGGATTATCGATTTTCTGGATTATAAATCATCAGTTTAAATCTCGTAAGATGGCATGCAGAAATTATACAATTAAAAATATGAAATCCTAATTCATGAAATAAAGAGCATTTATTATCTGAAGGTTATCAAAATTTACAAAAAAAGAAGCTTAATATTTATTTGTTTACTTTATTAAACATTTCTTTCAATGTAAGTTGTTTAAGTTTCATCTTTTTTTGTGCTAATACTTCCTCTTTAATTCTATAAACAGACATAATTTCTGGTTTAGTTACAAAGTTCCACTCTTCAAGTCCTGTAATTGCTGTGTCGAGAATACCGACTAACTTGTCAATTGAAATTTTTTCATTTTCAGTTACCTCTCTGTCACTATCTTCAATATCGGTAGCGGTATTTTCTGGATCTAGAACTATTCTACAGATTTCACCATCCGCTAATTAATTGATGATGGGGCATTGTCATCGCAATGAAAAACTTCTGTTATATCATCTTCATTTATTACCACTTCTCCACATTTCTGTACAAAATCCAATATAGTCAAAAGTCGTTAATCCGGACTCGTCGGGACTTCGTCAATTCCGGATTATAGATCATCAGTTTAAATCTGGTAAGATAGCATGCAGAAATTATAAAATTAAAAATATGAAACCATAATTTATGAAATAAAGAACAATTATGATCTAAAGGGTATTAAAATTTACAAAAAAAAGCTTAATATTTATTTCTTTACTTTATTAAACATTTCTTTCAATGTAAGTTGTTTAAGTTGCTTTGTTTTTTATGTGATAATACTTTCTCTTTAATTCTATAAATAGACATAATTTCTTGTTCAGTTACAAAGTTCCACTGTTCAAGTCCTATAATTGCTGTGTCGAGAATACCGACTAATTTGCCAATCAAAATTTTTTCGTTTTCAATAACCTCTATGTCACTTTCTTCGCTATCGGAAGCGAATTATAATGACAAGGAATTTATTTAATCATAAAATCATATCAAAGACGGATTACATCGAGATGAAATA